TAACAGTTTGGTTATGCAAATATGAAGTGTTTCCTGCGTTTCCTGAATGTTTGCCTTTTGTAAAGCTCACCTGCTCTTCTGGGGATTTAAATGTTTGATTTAATAATTCCAATATGCTGCAAGGAATGGATGAGAAAGAATGAGGGCTAAGAAAAAGGAGAAATTAGTGGAGATGACAGAGGGAAGTCAAGGTAGAAGTCATGAAGCAAAATCAAGTAGAAGAAAATGGAAAGACGGTAGGGACAAAAGAGTACATCCAGGAAGTGGCTTAGTATAGGCTTGATCCACCTCTTGTATAACTGCAAACAAAAGAAATAAAAGTAGGAATACAGAATGCTGGGCACAAAGAGGGTAGCTCATGCTCAGCGTTCTGCATTCCCACTTTCACTTCTTTTGCTCGGATGCACCAGTTTCAGGCATTTCTTGCACAGTGCGTGCTGGGAAGGCCAGCCAGGGGAAGGAGGGGCAGAGACAGACAGAAATCACCGAGAGAAGAAGAGTGTGCCCTTCTGCCCTCGGTTTCCCCTGTATTCCCCACCGCAGCAGCGCAGCTGCTGCTGACTCAGTCGGTCACCGACGCGCTCTGCGTCTCTGCTGCGGGCTGGGACAGCTGGTGGCCCCGCTGGGGACACTTTCCAGCTCCATCCCAACAACAGCCCAGGGGGGACAGTGGTGTTGGAGCTGTCCGTGGGGACTGGGGTGTGATTTGCTGCCTGTGCGCTGCTGGCACACGAGGGTCAGCCAGGGACTGAAGAAAGATGCTGGGGCCGCCTGGTCTGACAGAATTCCTTGGAGCCAGCTCGAGCCGTGCCGGCTGTGGGGCTTTCTGCCTGGCTTGGATTAGTGAGTTGTTTAGGGATCTGGGGCAAACCAGTAGAACAGGCTGATGAATCCACACGGTAGGTGCCAATCTGGGTTGCTGCTTTTTTCAGGAGTAAACAACTAGGAGCCATTGTTCATCTTCCTAACTCTCTGCAGGACACAGGCTGTAAATTACATCCAGCAACAAAAGCTTGATGGGAGTAGAACCGGGCGCTCAACTTCCCAAGGGAGTGCTTTGCCCTCCAGTCAAAAGAGCAGCTTTTCTTGCTTAAACCAGCACAGGCTCTTCTTCTGCCTTCCCATCAGCGCTCAGAGCCCAAGAAAAGTGTGCAGTTCAGGATTTGCCACACTGGAGCATTTACAGCCGTTGCCATTGCAAAACCTGTTTTCAGGATTGATAATGAAAATTAAATCTACTCTGAAATTGAATCCAGTCTGAATGCAGGAAACTAGATTGCAGTCTAGGGACAGGGAGGAAATCTTATTAAAAATAGCATATTTTATTGATATTGCAGACAAGTGGGTATGAAATCCTTCCTACTCCCCCAAATCTGATTTCCAGCCAGTCTCACAGATCACCCGTAGTTTAGGCAAAACACACACAGCCATGACCAGAAGTACCTAATGACATTTGTGCTTCTTAAATTCAGTAAGACCAGTTGCTGTTCACCTCCCCATAACAAGCTTGAAATATTCACCAAGTTATGCTCAGAAAATTATTTTTTTAATGTTAGAAAAATAGTATTTCTGCTGATAATAGAAAAAAAATAGGAGCTGTGTTTTTTTAGAAATTTTGAGGTTTCAGAAGACAAATGCCAGCTATTTTCACAGAAACAGAATTCCATTCTACACTTCTCTCAGTTTTTCCCATTCAGTAGTGAAATCAATCTCCATTGATACCTTTTTTTTTTTTTTTTCCCATCATAAGTACAGGTTCATTCAGGTACATCCATTTTCTTATCTGTCCACAAAATAAAATCTAAATATTCATTCTAGTGAGAGGCTGTGCCACTGAGTTTAATGGAATTTTGGTCTTTCAATTAAGCTAGGCCAGAATTTCATCCTCTATGTGAATTCCTGCAGAAAACCCAACTTTTTCTATCACTGTAATCCATGCATGTTCCTTTTCTAGGACTCCAACATATGTACTCCCTATTAGAATTTTTATCAAAATTAATTAGTGCTGCCTACAGTTCACATATGTGATAAAATCACAAATGAGTTATTTTCCTGTTCCTGTACTATATTTTACCATCACGGATTCAGTATTCACTGTATCAAAAGCGTCACAAAAGAAGATTTTTAAATTCTGGGGTTTTATTCTTTTTCAGTCTTATTGTTTCATTCTCTTTTGAAAACTTAATTAATTAATCATTTTATAAATTTTTGGTGCCAGTAGTTTACCTTCTTGTTGCCAAGGAAGTAAGAAAATTGCAGATCTCAGATATTTAACTGTAATGACAGGCTCAAAAGGGATGCTCTGCTGCATTTCATCAGCTGAATATTTGCTTCAGGAATTTCTGTTCCTATGTAATAAGGTTTTCCCAAACAAAAGCAGAAGTTATGTATGTCTCATACAGAAATCCCCCAAACAAAACCAAAACAAACCCAAAAAACAAACCCCCAAACCCAACAGTTTTCCAGAGTCGTACATCTGCTTTGACTAAATTTTCTGAGCAGCACTATGCCCTGCAGCTTGGCTAAATTTGGACTGCTGGCTACCTGAGACCAACACAAACTGACCATGTTTGTGTGGGAAAGCAGGAAATTTTTTTGTGTCATTTTTTTGTTGGAATGCACGTGTGTGTTCTAGGCTGCCATGAAGGCAGGCTGATGGCACGAGGAATGGCCAAACTCATGTTGCATGCAAACAGTTCATTAAATGTTTTTGTAATTTATTACACGAAATGACAAAATGTTATCAATTATTTTTCTTGTGTAGTTCTGTCTTTTCCTTTTGCATTAGGTACTAGCACCTCCATGCACGTGGTCTAAATGTGTCGAATCTTCGCTCAGTTTTTCAGGGCAACAACCAAGAGAGAGTCTTTCCAAAGCAGGATACCACCCACCCTTGCTGAACACATGCAGAAGTATTGAAAAGACTGAGATGAATAACAAATAATATTTTGGTATCTAGAAAACAAGCTTTTCATAATCAGGTGTCAGAATGGCTAGAATTAGAAACTTCAGACCATGAAGAGACTAGGAATTTCCACTCCAGGTTATCTAAGACTCTGCCTCTATCCCTGAAATGGATGTTATTCTCCCTTTACCTGTACCAAAGAAAACTTTTTATTTTTCTTAGTTCTGTACCATTATGAATGCAGGATATTAATGGAGAGGCAATTTATGTTTATCAAAAATAGGACTCAAAATTTCCTGAATTTTAATAAAATGTTTAATTATACTGTTTCATCCATAGAACGTGAATTTTAAAAGTAACTTAGCAATTGAAGAAAAATATATACTTAACAAATTTAAAACATTCATTAACTGTGTGCCAGCATTTTGAAATCCCACTAAACTTTATTCATGGGTTTTGATGCCAAAACATTTATAGATATAAATGTACAGGATTCTACAGAACTATTTCTCTTTCCACTTTAGAGAATGAGGTATATAGGAGATTGCCTTTTAATTGCTTTTAAAGCCATTTCTTAAAAAAAAAAAAAAAAAAAAAAAAGAAAAAAAAAAAGTAGCATATTTGCTAAAGAAAATGTGCTTTATCCATAATTTCAAAGTTGCTAACTTCATAATAAAAATATTCTCTGTGTTTAAAGGAAAGATTTTTACTTTAACTTTGTCCCATCAGATATTCTAGACCTGTAGGAAAAGCTTGTTGGAACCTGTTGCTAAAAATTTGGCTGGTTGAGGAAAGGATAGCCAGCCATTTCTAAGTCAAAAGGCAAAAAAAGGGCAAAGTCCTGAAAACCTCTTTATGTGACCTTCTTGTGCCTGTGGCTGGAGAGACTTGTCTGTACTTTTCCATTGTTTGTGTTAACGGAGATTCAATTAATGAGAAACTTCTTTCAAGTGGGAAGATCGACAAAATGGTAATCTGATATAGGACTATTCATTCCAGATTTGGCAAGGGAACTGAAATCAGGGCATTTCTGGTTGTTGGTAAAGGTGAGAAGTGCTGGCTTCGGTGATCCCTGACCAACCCCTCATGCCACGGCACACGAAGCACTGTTCCAATTCTCCAGCTCTAAAGAGAAGCCAGTGCATGGAGACCACACAGGAAATCTCCAAGGCACACAAGAGACAAGCCTTTTGCTTATCTACAGAGGCCTTGGGGTTTTCACCAGGGGTTTCATGAAGAGCCAAACAAAACCACACACTGCAATGAACATATGTCCCTCAGGAACTGAGACCTTGTCTGAACCTCAAAGATCTGGTATCTTTTCATCCTGTTTCTCTGCTTTCTGAATCGGGAATGGGAGGAAAAATTCCTTCTGTACCTTATGCCATCAATAGGATAAAGTATCAGCCTTAGTCCTCAGTATCACTCACTTCTGGCACTGGCATTATTCACTACTTTAGTTCATTCATTATTCTTCTTGGAGCAGCCTGTGCAGGGACATCAAGGGTAGAAGGGGCTGTGGGAAACTGAACAGCCTCAACTTACCTTCTGCATGATGTTATCCTCCAGCAGTGAACAAAAACATGGCAGAAGGCTTCACTGCAGAGCAGGCATTTTACTTGCACTTAATTGAACGGCACAAAGAGAAAATGGTGAGATAGGAATAAATAAGCAAAATATTTCTGGGAAATATCTAGGCAATTATAGGTGCTTTACCAGGGTTTAGAAACTCTAGTGCTTTTATGTTCACTTGGTTTGTAATAAGGGAGAGATTTTAAAATGCAGGATGAAAAGCTTGTAACGAACAGTGCATTTCTGAGAGAACTCAGGAGAGATTACACACATTTTCCTACGAGCACACTAAGTATAACTTTTGACTAGACTAGTGTAAGAAGAGAAGGTTTAGTGGCTCTTTAAAACTCAAGTGTGCCTGCTTAGTCAGTCCTAGCTCTCCTTCCACTCCCCCTTCTTCTGCTGCTGGGTAACTTGTTATGGGTGTGACTTTTGATGGAGCTTCCCCCTCCCAGTTATGTCATTACTTCAGTTCCTTTGAATCAGAATAAAAAGTGCAGCAAACTTCAGACTCATTGACTGCAGGCTTAACAAGCGTCGGGGCTTTTCTTCTTTCTGCAGCTTGCAAGGATCTTTGGATTTTGCAAAACAGTTCCAAGAAAACAATGGCCAACTTCTTATGGACAGTTTTTGGATTATGTTTGCTGAAGCTCTGTCTAGCAGAAACAGGTAAGATTTTTATGAATGAAAACGCTTATGATTGTTAAGTTAATGCTTCAGACAGTGAGTGTGCTTCTGCTAGATAGCTAACAGCTTTCTTGCATCTATAAACTTTTATTATTTCAAGTGTTATCAGAGATGTTTTAGAAGTGTAATCTCAGTTGTGCTGGTCTGTACAATCATGGAAAGCTATTGCTTGTAAAGGGTAATTCCAAATCTGTAAAAACTGAATTGCAGAACATAAAAGAATGAAGTTTAAACTAGGAACAGAACTACACTGGGGAATTCGGAATGGCTCTGGTAAAGCTCAGTCCGACAATGTGACTGCTGTTACAAACGCAGTTTGCTCTCCCGGCTCCCCTTCGGACTGCAGCGAAAAGGGGGTGGAAGGAAGGGGCTGAGCCCCCCCAGCTTACAGCTGCATTCTGCAGCTCACATGAGCCGAACCAACAGCTGAAACAAACTGCATTTGGGCACTGCCTTGCTGAACAAGAGAAAAACTGCAGGGGTCTCTGCTGAAATTTGGAGAGCTTTTATCCCAAGCATGCTTGCTTCTGACTTTCTAAGGTCTCTCTGGGGCTGACTGATGAGCTTTTGGAACAAAGGGGGTTAGAAGTGACAAAGTTCAGTTGTTTATCACTTACCTTCCTGCAGCTCGGTTATGTGCTTCAAATATTTGTATTTAAAAATCTAACGTTAATACAGAGAAAAAAAAATTATGTCTGAAGTGACAGAAAGCTTTTGAAATTTTACATGGTGCAGGCTCAACCATGTTTTAGGGGTATGACCATACTTTTAGCAGACTCTCACTGTGACTGCAACTGCCTTGAGGCGTTTTGTGGTTAGGGATAACAGTTGTGCTTCTATATTGTTTTTGTACTCATCGGTTCCAGGAGTCTAACAAAATGCATTTTTCATGGCCATTGTCACCCAAGGGCTGTGTGTGTATAGTAAATATGAGTCTCATTTGCTTGAGCAGCAGGAGATACTTCTGTTAATGGTTGCAGCGCTGCCAGGCTGGGAATGGGTGTGTTGGGGGGAACAAGTTCCCAGTGCTTCTGTGATAGCTGAAGCAGCCTCATAGCTTTTCTGTCTAAAATCATATGTACATCGTACCAAAATGGTCTTGCTAAGATCAGGTATATAGACAAAGCCTTAAGAGAAAGGACAGGGCTACTGTAGGCAAGTAAGGTATGTCTACAATGTGTTTAAATCCTTGGCTGGGTCCACGTGCGTGCACTGTATAAATATTATAACTGCTCGACTGATTCTTACATCTGTGAGCTGCCTGGAGTGTCCTAGAGAGCAGGGTCTGCACTGACTCTGGGAGTAATGTGTTTTTACAGTGAGACAGAAAGCCCCATTATTGAGCCCTCAACATAGTTACAAAAAGTGTGTCAAACTTCACATATGCCCTCCAGGGAAGGTTCTTTACTGGCTTAGTAAGGTATTAGAATATAGCTACAGTTTATTTGATTTGGTATACAGTACATTCCAGCATGACTTTGTAGTCAGTAATGATTTCAAAACAGCAGTTGACGATGTTGTTTTCTATTTTTAGACAGTGATTTTGCTGTGTATCATAGACTAATGGCTATTGCTGCTGGGAAACTCCTGAACTGGAATTTTGATTATTTGAGTACAGAATTTCAGGGAATTAAAGAGGACCTGGAATTACTCTTAATGTGATTTAGAAGGAAAAATGAGATACAGAGAAAGCTGGAAAACTTACTCATCCTGATTTCTGTGGTGGTTTGACTATACTGTCACTGATATGTTTCTTACTCTTGGTGTTGACATGACTTGTCTAAGGAGTCTGGATCCTGGAGCATGTAGGTGCTGATATCTTGGTCAATGATGTTTTCAGAGGAGATTTTCTCCTGTAAGCATTATGTATTTTTAGAAATATTTTTCTCAAAGTTTTCCTTGATTCACACAAAGCAAATCCTAGAATTTTGACCCCCAAACTTGGAAGAAACTGGAAGAGAAGTAGTAGTGGCAAGGATGAAATGGAAAGAGGGAGAATGAGCATGCCCGTGGGAGGAAGGAGAGTGCCTGTTAGCCCTGGAGAGGCTGCCAGAGCCCCATTCCAAGGTCAGGCTCTGAGACAGGGCTCCTGCAGCTGCTGATCAGTCACAAAGGAAGAGACCTGCCTGCCCCTCAGTTTACATATCTCTCCTGTAAATTTGTAAATAAAGCAGTTTGAAGAAGCTCTTTGTGCTAGTTTATTTTCACTCAGTCCTTACAGTGTGTATCTTGGCAGTTTCCCAAATCTACAAAGTAACTAGACTTTATTAAGAGTTCACTTGAACTTTCCATCATTGTTCAGTGGAGGGGTTGTGGAGCTATCCTGGAAACACTCGCACACGCAGAGCCAACAAAGCATGGCCGGGGATGGTTTTGCAATCTTTGGAGAAATGTTGGAAGATTCTTTAGGTACTGGTGTTCACCACAATGAAGAGCCATTACCTTGAAAATAGGAAGTCAGAGAAAGGCTTAATGAGGAGAGATAGCATCGTACAAATGAGGAAGAACTTTTTTAAGCAAATGCTTTTAAAACCACTGGTAGCCCTAGCCAAGGTTAAACAAAATGCTCATCCATATGTGGTGTCTCTTTCTTTCCAGAAGAGTTCCCATGACTTTTATAGGCCTGAATTGAAGGTAGTGTGAATATTGCAGTTATTCATCTATCACCTCAACATGAATGAGGTTTGACTGTATCAAGAATGTGCCAGGAGCCGGAGACATCGCGACATGCTGATAGACAGATAAACACCAGGGAGAATCATGAGCTCATTACTCCTAAAATACTTGTTGAAAAGATGTGATAGTATTTGATAATGCCAGTTCTGAATGTAGTTGACTGGTAGCAAAACACGTTGTAGAGAAGCAGAGATAAAGCAATGTGGAGTTCCTTTATAAGGAGAGGGTAAATCAGTCATGGAAATTAAAAGTTTTTTGACGTTCCAAATGCTGTAAAAAGGCTTCTTCATCTGCTTTCTAGTCTTCTTGCATCACATTTTTGTTCCAGAACTAAGGGGTAAGTGTTTGAAAATACAGTCGATATGGAAGATGATAATTCTCCCCTTCATATATCACTGTTTGGCCTTTTATTTCAAGAGAATACTATGTGAGAGAGCAAGGGAAGGAGTTCTGCAAAACTCACCTATAAAATTGGGTTTTCCAGGACCAAGGCTGAATGTACATAATTATCTGTGAAATATAACTTCACAGAGAAGATAATTGTGAAACAAACATGACCCATCACAGTAATTTGTCTACTTTGAAAACAATGCACTGGAACAATTAATGGTGCTCAAAACACATCATATTTTAGAATCAGCTGGCATCTGGGAGCATGCTGATTCAATTTGTCAGCATCAAACTGAATTCTCAACATAGAGAAATGGAAACTTCCAACTTGCTAGAAAACAGAACACATCCACAGTCCTAGTGTGTTCTTTGCCTTTACCTGTCAGGGGTTTCTGTGTGATAAACCTGGTGGTTTGGACCATTCTCTGTGTGTTATCCACGACTGTGGGCGGGAAGCCAGTTTGGTGTAGCTGCTGGTCATTTTCCAGGAGTCCATCATCTCTTAACAGCCAGCCATCTCTCCCTCCCAGAGAGGTAATCACAATTTCAAAGCTATCAGACGCTGTAATTATCAGTGGCCATGATGGGTGCTGCTAATAGCAGTGGCAGAGAGGATTGTGTCAGTGCTGTGTGTTTATCATTTCCTCCCGCAGTGCCTCGGCAGCAATATCAGTAGCAGCTGGCTGTGATTTCCCTCCCTTGCCGCGGCTGCCGGCGCTGCCCCCGCCCAAGGACGGCGAAGCAGCTCCAGCTCATCCTATGAGTGAGTCTGCAGGCGGTAATGTGAAGTGGCAACGGAGGAAAAGAGGGGTTTTCCTTGGAGAATCTTTCCAGTCAGACAGAAAGTTCAGCTAATTGCAATTTAAAGTTCAAACCTCCGTGACTGTTTCCTGCCTAACGAAACCTGCAGTCATTTTTTGAGTCTGTGCTTTCAATTAGGAACGTAATTGAACTTTCTTTTGTAAGCAATGGCTTTGGGACTTTCCAGTTCCTCTACATGACAACACTGGCAACTTTATATAATGCAGCTGTCTTATTTTGGTACAATAACCTTCAATTCTCATATTGTGAAACATTAGAAAAAAACCCACCCCAAACAACAAAAAAACCCCAAAACGCCCTAAAAGGAGTTGAAGAACAATCTACAGTTTTAGTTGTTAAAAACATGAAAGCACAAGCAGGGTATGCTAATTCAAATTAAAAATCACAGAGAAGACCTGAATTCTACTTGCATTTGGAGTTCGAAAAATACTTTGCTTCACTTTTTTTTCCTCTTTTTTGTTGATGATTGATGTAGCTTAGTAGTAGCTGGAAACTCTTAAGAGACTGTGTTGTGTCTTAAAAAAAAAAAAAAAAAAAGGAAAAAAGAAAAAACGCCAGACATGCAGCAGCTGTGTTAAAACTTCATCCCTCTGCTAATGATACTGTTCCAAAAGCAGTGTGAGAGGGTTGTAAAAGAGATTGCCAGCTGCCTAGGAAAAGGGCATTAGCCTGCAATCCTCAACTTCACAATTAATGTTTTACTAAATACCTGCTTTCGTAAATAAGATGCTGCCTCTGACAGAACGTGTAATAGTAAGAAAAAAACTGCCATGGCATAGCTTTTGTTAATTATGTATGTCTCACAGTGACAGCATGTTAGCAAAACAGGTTCTCAGAAGTACATTTCCCTAGGGGGCTTTTTTATTGTTATTTTTGTTAATGGATAGGTGTCTGTAAAGAAGCAGGGTGTGGTGTGTGTGGGTAGCTGTAATGAATAGTTTCTCGCAGAGTTCCCATACAGAAGTGAGAGGTTGACTGAAGCTCAGTGGATGTTCTGTGGGCACCCAGACCCCTGCGAGCCGATGTGAGCAGGGGCAGCAGATGAGAGCACAGGCGGCAAGCAGCAGCTTTGATGGCCAAAGCGGTGTGTGAAT